GCCAGCCAGCTCTTGCTCTTGGGTGGTCTTGTCCCTACCCATCCTGGTTGCTAAGTCTCCTTGGGTATCTTCCCTACCAGCCCCTCTGAGGGCTCAGTCTAGTCTCCTGTGAAGCCAGCCCTTCCTGTCTTCTCACCTCCTACCTTCTACTGTGCAGTGTATCAGAGTGGACTGTCAAGAGTGGGTGTGTTGGGTTAGACTCATTGCCCACACCTGGCCAAGGCCCTTCCACTATCCCATTAATATGATGCCAACACTCTGCATTCCTGACCCTTGAGCAAAGAAAGGCTTGGATACACACAGGTAAGCTGCCAGGAGGTTGCAAAGAGTAGCCCACAAGTTCTCTTTGCTAGAGGATAAAGCCAATGCTTTTTCAGAGACCAATAAAGAAGAAACTATCAGCTGGGCAGTGGTGGCACATGCTTTAATCCCAGCACTCAAGAGGCAGAGGCAGGCTTAGGTCTCTGTGAATTCGAGTCTCGCCTGGTCTACAGAGCAAGTTCCAGGATAGCCAGGGCTACACAAAGAAACCCTGTGTTGACAAACCAAAAAGAAAAAAAGAAACTATGAGATCTTATCCCAGAAAACACATGCAAGCAAACAAACCCATGGCTGATATAGTAAGGATGAACCATACCAGTATGACTTGTTACTGGTGAAAAAGAGGGAGTAACTGGCTTCTTGTTCTTAAAGAATAAGTACTCTAATTGTTTAATACTAAGGACAGGCCTGGAGTTAAGGCAGCCGGTTTTTGTTTGGTTGGTTGGTTTTTGCCCCCGCCTCTCAAGATAGGGTTTCTCTGTGGAGCTTTGGAGCCTGTCCTGGAACTCACTCTGTAAACCAGGCTGGCCTTTGAACTCACAGAGATCCCCTGCCAGTTCTAACATGAAGATCCTAAATCAAGAGCACACACACACACACACACACACACACACACACACACACACACAGGATCCAGCGAACCTGCTTGTCCTCCTCTCCTTAAATCTTCAGCTGACCACACAGCAGGAATGGATGGGGACAGAGCTCCACTTGCGGTCAATGAAGAAAAGGAAGCCAAAGCAGATGGCAGGAATTCTGCTACCCTGGGTATCTAAGTTTAAAGCAACAGTAGAACAAGTAGTTTGCTGTCAGAAGCACCAAGGCTGCACCAGTTTTCAGTGCTCTCTACAGAAGATCACAGCATTTTCACTCTGAAGACTCCACAGTTAAACAGTGCTTCCAGGTTAGGTTCGACCTAGAGAATATGTAGATTTATCTAGAAAATAAAACTACACAAAAAGGAAATGAGGGCTGGGGTGTGACCAATATAGCATATGTGTGTGATCTGAGTTGAAGTCTCAGTCCCAGGAAGTGGGGGAAAAGAAGAACCAAACTGCTGTTATAATGTTAGACAGTGCAGTAAGAACTCTTCTTTTAAACCTGATGAAGTGTGTTTATCCTTGCTGCTTCTGGTCTCTATAATCGAGACAGGGTGATGGACAGGGAAGTGCCAACTAGCGGTCTACCCTGACCTAGAGAACATATATTCACAGTGCACAGTCTGTTTTAGGGACTCCAAATAGACCCCAGCCTCACATGTAGGAAAACACTGAGCCTGGAGGGTAGGTGTGTCAGCTCTTCAGGGAGATCTGAACTCCTGCCGCAGGCCTCTGGAGACAAGTTAAATTACCTGGCTATTTTTCACATTCTAGCAGTCAACCCACAAGTTTCAAACAGAGGAGAGCTGGGTGACAACAGCTAGCTAGCAGTGGCTGTCAAGCCAGACAGGGCAGTGCAGGGAAATACTGTGGGAAGCCCTTTCTGAGTTAACCAGAAAAGCACAATTTCCTTCTAGCTTCCAGCTCATAAAATAGCCATGGAAGCTGCTCCAGAGAGACAAGCAAGCACAGTGGACACATGCGCAGTTCTGACAAGTGAACGGGCAAACCCCATCGACACAGACAGTCATCAAAGGAGACTAGTCAGGTGCTCTCATGCTGGAGTTTCAGCCGCCACTGTGATGTCGGCCAGACACTGCAAACATTTCCACTGACTCATCACCTGACTCATCACAGTGACGACGGAAACGACAGAAAACACATCCCCAGCAGAAGGCAGGTGTTTTAGAACTGTTTGTGGTATATATGAGCTTCAGACCTCATGCTGGACCAAATAAACAGCAATCCAGGGGAGGGGGGTGCTGCTTCAGGGTAGTTCACACCAATAGACCCAATTCTTGCAGGCCTTGGGTTTCCTTCTAAACTGCTGGAAGCTGTGCCAGATTGGTGAGGGTTACTCAGCAGCTCTAATGTGTCCAGTAACAAAAAGGTCTGAGCAGCCCAACCTCAACTCCTGTGGGAGATGCAGGCAGTCCTGGTGCTGAGGAGGAAGACATGGCCCCAGGTCTAGGTGTGATCCTGGACAAGCCTCATGTCATTTCAATTCTTGCTCCAAGAAACGAGTATGAAGATCGCATTCCATAATAATAATAACAACAACAATGATAATAACAATAACATGCCAGGCTGAGAATGAAGCTCAAGCAGAGCATTTGCCTAGGGTGTCTAAGAACCAAAGTTTAATTCTTACTGCCAAAAAACTTAAGAAATCCTTAGTCTCGGTTAAAATGCAGTCTACACTGGTGACACGAACGGCAAGCAGGCCATGAAGTCACAAGTGGTGACAAGAAGCCGGTAAGAAAGTCCTAGTCGTCTTCCTGGAAGCCCGCCATGTACAGAGCCTGTGGCTGAGGGGTTTAGAGAAACAGTCTACCTGAACTCACTGATGGGCTGTGCAAGAGTCAACCATCTTCACCTTTGGGACTCTCTTTGAGGGGAGTCCTCCGAGCACTCAGTCCCCAGCGTCATGCAGCACACAGGCAGCTGATCTGAAGATGTCCCAACTCAGAGTCAAGGCCTACCCATACTGGCAATTTCTTCTCTCAGAAAAAGGGTTAACTCTGATTGCTAACTGTGGTGGTTTGAATATAAATGACCCCAAGGGTCTATAGGGAGGAGCACCATTTAGGAGGGGTGGCCTGGGAGTAGGTGTGGCCTTGTTGGAGGAGGTGTGTGACCAGGGGATGGGATTTGAGGTATCAGAAGCTCCAGCTAGTTTCTCTGCCTGCTTCCTGTAGATCAAGATGTACAATTCTCAGCTCCTCTAGCATGTCTGCCTGCATGTCACCATGATAATGGACTGAACCTCTGAACTCTACGCCAGCCCCAATGAAATGTTTTCCTTTAGAAGAGTCAGCGTGATCAGAGCAACAGAAACCCTAAGACACTAACATTCCAGGTGGACCTACATCCAATTAAGTGCAACTGCGTCTTAGGGTAACATCCCTTTTCAAAGTGTTGTTCTTAAACCCAAACATCAGTAAATTCAAAGGAATGTTAAATCCTCTAGAAAGAATCAGTTTTCAAACCTAGTGAGGGGCTGGAGAGCGGGCTCAGCGGCTGCCAGCACGAGCTGCTCTTCCAGAAGCTGCAGTTCAGCTTCCAGCACCATGGCCAAGCAATTCACGGCCACCTGCAACCCCAGTGCCAGGGATCCAACACCCTCTTCTGACCTCCCTGTACCCCTACCCCATATATATTAATAAAACTAATGCCTAAAGTAATAAGGATCATAATTAGTCTCAGCAGTTAAGAGTACTTGCTGTTCTTAACTGAGTTCAGGTCTTAGCACTCTGTCAGGTGGTTCACAGCTGTCATTCCAGGTAGCATATATACACAGACACAAACACACCCCCACAATCAATAAATAAAAAACAATTAAAATATATACATATATACTAATAAAAGCTTGCATGCTCGTTTTAAATGATAATCACTGCTTTTCAAAAGCAACAGCACTATATCCAAGGATGTTGGGAAATATGTGGTAGTGTTTTGGGTTGTCATATGTCTGGGAAGTACACTATGGGCAGATTGGAAGGGATCAGATATGTAACACAAGCTGGCATGATCAAACAGTACTATACATTCTAATAGTGGGCAATACTAGTTACTACTCTAAAAAGTTGATGGATCAGCTAGCAAAGTGTGTATTGAACAAGCATGAGGACTTGAGTTCAGATCCCCAGCACCTATGTAAAAAGTGAAGGTGGTGGCACACACTTGTAATTCTAGTACTGCTCAAGAAGAGAAACAGACAGGAGGCATCTTGGAGGTCCCTAGCCAGCCAATCTAGTCAAACTGGTAAGCTCCAGCTTCAGGGAAAGAACCTAACTCAAAGACAACAACAAAAACGAAACAAGAAACCAAGGTGGAAAACAATCGAGGATGACGGCCAATATTAACCTCTGCTATCCATACGCGCACACATACATACTCATGAACATTGTTAACATACGCGCACACATACTCATGAACATGCAGCATGCACACACAAACATCGTTGACATGCTCAGCCTTAGCTCATCTGTGCTCTTACTGCTTGAACATCACTCTGAGAAATCTTTGCACATTAGCATTCCTCAAAATCACGACTTAAATTCTGTGTCCTCACTCAGCTTAAGAACTAACAAGGAGGACTTGGAGCCAGTCTTGTACTACAGGTACCCAAATGGGTCTTACAGTTTTACTTAGATCAATCTATGTAGCTGTGGGACATTTGCTGGGTTTCCCCCAACAGAGCTGCCAAAACTCAAAGTAGATGACAAGAGGCAGTACTGCTTGGAAATTAGGATACAGGTACAATAATAGTCTTACTCCCTGCTTTGATATTTTTCAACTTCTGATCCCCCAGCCTTGACCTTCCCAGGGCTGAGATTCAGGAAGGGGCCACCAAGTCCAGTTTATATGGTGCATGGGATAAAACCCAGGGCTTCATGAATGCGAGGCGAGCATTCTACCAACAGAGCTACAGGCAGCCCCAGTGCAAACTGCCAAACTTCTAATATCTAAAGTGGTGGCACGCTTAAAAAAAATTTTGACAGCAAAATGTAAACATACAATATTAAAAAAAAAAAAGAAAACCAAAACAATGCTCACGCTCACAAAATCCACACTACCAGGCACAGTAGCACATACCTTTAAAGCCTAGCACTGGGAAGGCAAGGGAGGATCTTCCTGACTTGGGGGCCTGCCTGGGTTGACATAGCAGGCCAGCAAGGGCTACATAGAAAGACTTTGCCTCAAAACAAACATGGCAGGTGCAGAGGCCCATGCCTATAATCCTAGTACTTAGGAGGTGATGTGGGAGTGATTTCTTACTAATAAAGAAACTGCCTCGGCCCTCATAGGACAGAAAATTAGGTAGGCGGAGTAGACAGAAGAGAATTCTAAAAAAAAAAAGCTGAGAGAGAGTCGCCATGATGCTCCCACTCCAGACAGACGCAGGTTAAGATCCTCTCTGGTAAGCCAGCTCATGGGCTACACAAAATATTAAAAATGGGTTAGAACAATATGTAAGAGCTAGCCAATAAGAAACTGGACCTAGCCGGGCCAGACAGTGTTTGAAAAAATACAGTTTCCATGTAATTATTTCTGGGTATAAACTAGCCATGCGGGCGGCCGGGTGCCGGGGACGCAGCCCNAAGGGTCTATAGGGAGGAGCACCATTTAGGAGGGGTGGCCTGGGAGTAGGTGTGGCCTTGTTGGAGGAGGTGTGTGACCAGGGGATGGGATTTGAGGTATCAGAAGCTCCAGCTAGTTTCTCTGCCTGCTTCCTGTAGATCAAGATGTACAATTCTCAGCTCCTCTAGCATGTCTGCCTGCATGTCACCATGATAATGGACTGAACCTCTGAACTCTACGCCAGCCCCAATGAAATGTTTTCCTTTAGAAGAGTCAGCGTGATCAGAGCAACAGAAACCCTAAGACACTAACATTCCAGGTGGACCTACATCCAATTAAGTGCAACTGCGTCTTAGGGTAACATCCCTTTTCAAAGTGTTGTTCTTAAACCCAAACATCAGTAAATTCAAAGGAATGTTAAATCCTCTAGAAAGAATCAGTTTTCAAACCTAGTGAGGGGCTGGAGAGCGGGCTCAGCGGCTGCCAGCACGAGCTGCTCTTCCAGAAGCTGCAGTTCAGCTTCCAGCACCATGGCCAAGCAATTCACGGCCACCTGCAACCCCAGTGCCAGGGATCCAACACCCTCTTCTGACCTCCCTGTACCCCTACCCCATATATATTAATAAAACTAATGCCTAAAGTAATAAGGATCATAATTAGTCTCAGCAGTTAAGAGTACTTGCTGTTCTTAACTGAGTTCAGGTCTTAGCACTCTGTCAGGTGGTTCACAGCTGTCATTCCAGGTAGCATATATACACAGACACAAACACACCCCCACAATCAATAAATAAAAAACAATTAAAATATATACATATATACTAATAAAAGCTTGCATGCTCGTTTTAAATGATAATCACTGCTTTTCAAAAGCAACAGCACTATATCCAAGGATGTTGGGAAATATGTGGTAGTGTTTTGGGTTGTCATATGTCTGGGAAGTACACTATGGGCAGATTGGAAGGGATCAGATATGTAACACAAGCTGGCATGATCAAACAGTACTATACATTCTAATAGTGGGCAATACTAGTTACTACTCTAAAAAGTTGATGGATCAGCTAGCAAAGTGTGTATTGAACAAGCATGAGGACTTGAGTTCAGATCCCCAGCACCTATGTAAAAAGTGAAGGTGGTGGCACACACTTGTAATTCTAGTACTGCTCAAGAAGAGAAACAGACAGGAGGCATCTTGGAGGTCCCTAGCCAGCCAATCTAGTCAAACTGGTAAGCTCCAGCTTCAGGGAAAGAACCTAACTCAAAGACAACAACAAAAACGAAACAAGAAACCAAGGTGGAAAACAATCGAGGATGACGGCCAATATTAACCTCTGCTATCCATACGCGCACACATACATACTCATGAACATTGTTAACATACGCGCACACATACTCATGAACATGCAGCATGCACACACAAACATCGTTGACATGCTCAGCCTTAGCTCATCTGTGCTCTTACTGCTTGAACATCACTCTGAGAAATCTTTGCACATTAGCATTCCTCAAAATCACGACTTAAATTCTGTGTCCTCACTCAGCTTAAGAACTAACAAGGAGGACTTGGAGCCAGTCTTGTACTACAGGTACCCAAATGGGTCTTACAGTTTTACTTAGATCAATCTATGTAGCTGTGGGACATTTGCTGGGTTTCCCCCAACAGAGCTGCCAAAACTCAAAGTAGATGACAAGAGGCAGTACTGCTTGGAAATTAGGATACAGGTACAATAATAGTCTTACTCCCTGCTTTGATATTTTTCAACTTCTGATCCCCCAGCCTTGACCTTCCCAGGGCTGAGATTCAGGAAGGGGCCACCAAGTCCAGTTTATATGGTGCATGGGATAAAACCCAGGGCTTCATGAATGCGAGGCGAGCATTCTACCAACAGAGCTACAGGCAGCCCCAGTGCAAACTGCCAAACTTCTAATATCTAAAGTGGTGGCACGCTTAAAAAAAATTTTGACAGCAAAATGTAAACATACAATATTAAAAAAAAAAAAGAAAACCAAAACAATGCTCACGCTCACAAAATCCACACTACCAGGCACAGTAGCACATACCTTTAAAGCCTAGCACTGGGAAGGCAAGGGAGGATCTTCCTGACTTGGGGGCCTGCCTGGGTTGACATAGCAGGCCAGCAAGGGCTACATAGAAAGACTTTGCCTCAAAACAAACATGGCAGGTGCAGAGGCCCATGCCTATAATCCTAGTACTTAGGAGGTGATGTGGGAGTGATTTCTTACTAATAAAGAAACTGCCTCGGCCCTCATAGGACAGAAAATTAGGTAGGCGGAGTAGACAGAAGAGAATTCTAAAAAAAAAAAGCTGAGAGAGAGTCGCCATGATGCTCCCACTCCAGACAGACGCAGGTTAAGATCCTCTCTGGTAAGCCAGCTCATGGGCTACACAAAATATTAAAAATGGGTTAGAACAATATGTAAGAGCTAGCCAATAAGAAACTGGACCTAGCCGGGCCAGACAGTGTTTGAAAAAATACAGTTTCCATGTAATTATTTCTGGGTATAAACTAGCCATGCGGGCGGCCGGGTGCCGGGGACGCAGCCCCGCCGCTCCTATTTCAACAAGGAGGCAGATTGGATCTTTTTTGAGTTTAAGGGCAGCCTGATCTTCACAGCAAGTACCAGACTAAGGCTACATGGTGAGACCCTGTTTCAAAACAAAAGATAACACACAAAAGCTGTCATGTCAGGGCATACTTCAAAGGTGGGTTGGAGGATGGCAAGCAAGCTGAAGATTCCAGAGAAGACCAGACAGCCTGGCTTCCAGTCCTGCAGCTTACTGCTGTCAGCAGGCATGGTTCCATGCTACCCTATGGCTGTGGACTTTAACAAGGGCAAGCCAGGCACACTGGCTGCTGGAGGTACCGCACCAAACACACCAAGTTCATATGGAAGGTGTGTGGCTTTGCTCCCCATCAGCAGTGAACTCTGGAGCTGCTCAGTGTAGCCAAGGACAAGCAGGTCCCAGAATTCATCAAGAAAAGGACAGATGAACATACAGCCACACCAAAAGCAAGGCGGGGAGAGGAACTGAGCAAGAGTTCTCGCCACCATGAGGAAGGCAACTGCCAAGATATAAAGTCCCTTCTTCCTCTGAGTAGGAAATACTTTCAGAAAACATGGCATGTATCTTTGATACATCCTGAAGTATTTCTGGAGGACACCTGAGATCTCCTTTGAAGTACACAGAGGCTAGTGAGGGAACTCTGCAGCAGGGCATTTGCCTACAGTCAGAAGAGCCTGGGCTCCGCCCCAGCACCACAGGGACAGTAAACAGAATAAAACAAAGAAAAATAAAATCCCATAAAAGTGGGTTTAAAGTTGCAGATGGAACAAGTTGGCCATGAACTAGTAATTGTTGGGGCTGAGTGAGAAAACACATGGAGAGTTGCCATACCTTCTTGTTATATTTCTTTGTAACTTTTAATAAAAAGAAAAACTAGCAAAATGAATAAATCATTAAGTAAAGCTGACTCCAGTTCCCACATCAACAGAGAAGGCTCACAACTGCCTGCAACTCTGGCTCCAGAGGATTCAATGCATTTGTCTGGCCTCTTCCAAGGGACACCTGCAAACATGTGGAATGCGTTCACACAAATGCACAGCATATACATTTAAAAGAAAGAAGAAAGACAAGAGATAGAGGTGGCTGGAAAGATGGCTCAGCAGTTAAGAGAGTTTGCTACATTGTAGAGGACTTGGGTTCAGTTCCCAGCACCCTCACCTTGGCTCACAGCTGTAACTCTAGTTCGGGAGATCCACTTTCCTCTTCTGGCCTCCTTGGACAGCAGACATGCATGTGGTGGGCATATAAACATGCAGAAAAAAACTCTCATGCACATAAAATAAAGGTATGTGCCCATAATTTATTTCTCATGCCCGTAACATAAGCACTAGGAGGCTAGGGTAGCAGGATCGTGAGTCAGAATGTCGCCTCCCCAGCATTTCGAGATGAGAAGCCTACAGGGAGACAACACGGTGCTGGAGCATGTGCCCTCCTCACATAAGGACCCTGTCCAAACGTTAGGACCAGAAAGAAAAAGCCAAACGCATTCCTAAAACTTCAGGACATGATTTGACCTTTTCAAATTCCTAGAAAGTGGTCATACAGGCATTCAACAGAGAATATTCTTCTCAGAATTTAGCATCTGTAGGAGCTGGGAGTGAAGGCTCAGCAGTTAGGAAAGGCTTGGATTCAGTGTCTAGCACCCACAGCAGGTGGCTCAAATTCATCTACTCACAGGGATCTGACATGTTTTCTGGCCCCCATGGGTACTACATTCACGTTTACAAATTGACTTTCAGACACACACATACACTTAATGAAAAATAAAAATAAGCCAGGTGGTCAAGAGGCAGAGACAGGCAGATCTCTGTGAGTTCAAGGCCAGCCTGGTCTACACAGCTAGTTCTAGAACACCCAAGGATACACAGAGAAATCCTGTCTTGGAAAATCCAACACACACACACTTTAAATTAATTACTTTTTTTTAAAACATTTTTTTCGGGGAAGCTGAGGCAAGAAGTACTACAAATTAGTAGCAAGTCTGGGTTCTAAGAGACTGTCTCACAAACAAAAGATAGCAGCAGGCAGCAGCTCCATTCTTGTACTGGGAATCTAACACAGATTTCAAAGTCTAGTTTATTTACAGTTGCACCCTAAGTGCCAGAGTGAGATGTACCGTGAAAATATAGTCTTTAGCATCTCCCACCCACAGCAACAGGGTCAAGCAAAAGCTTGGAACTCCAGAAAACCAAATGTAAAACCCTTCCAACCAGCCAGGCGGTGGTGAGACACACCTTTAACCCCAGCACTCAGGAGGCAGAGGCAGGAGATCTCTGTGCATTCAGACCAGCCTGGTCTACAGAGTAAGTTCACAGAGAAACACTGTCTTGAAAATACAAAAAGAAAAAATATCTTGCATGTATACACCCATACTCGCACACAGCTCTCAGACGCTGCTGAGAGAACTAGGTAAGAACAGAGTAGACTTACGTAATTGCAACATTACTCCCATCTATAACAATGTGCTTCAAATCAGCTCTCCCTGGTTCATTTTTTAATTCCAGCTTGTACGGTGTTTTCAGAGTATCTCGAAATCTCTGAACCCCCGTAACGGAGGAATCCATATGCTCAAAGGCTCCTGCCCATCGTGTATCGGTAGCTGAAGGTAACAGCTGGGGCAGCGGTGGCGGGGAATAGTGTGGCTTAGGCTGAGGAGAGCTACAGCAGCCAGAACGTTTCTCACAGGCAGCCTTCGCATTATTGGGAAGCAAGGGTTCCACTTGCTGTTGAAAGTCATTTTCAGGGACAGCTGGGCTTCTCTGGGGGTGACCTGTAGCTCCCCTCGAAATGAAGCTGACTTCTTTAGGACTGGAAGAGGCAACAGACGGTGAGAGGCCATCAGTCTCAAGGTCTACATTACAACTGTAGTTCTGGTTTGAGGCCCACATTTCATGTTTCTGTCCTACTGGCCCTGTTCTGAACGAATTAACTCTGCAATTTGAGGTACATGGTTTAGAGTCTTTGAACGGTAACTGAGAAAATTTTTCCACCATGTTTTGCTCTGTGTGACTCTGTGTGTTCTTTGGAGTTGAATCTGCTGTGAGCTCATTTGTGCTGCTCCCGACACCTGCACTTCTCTGAGCGGCATCTGGACACACAGTGCAAGGTGCAAACACTCTGTCTCCTTGGAGCCTTTTGTTCTCTTTTTCAATCTCCTCCAAGAGCAGTAAGGGCTCTGTAGAAGGCCCGTACTCCTTGATGACCTTCTCGACAATCTCTTGGGAGTAGCCCATGGTTCTGAAGAAGTTTACAAGGATGCTGTACTCCATTTCTTCCGTCGTGTCTTTCCCATCGGGGCTTAGATTTGGAGAGTTGGAAGCAGCAGTGTCACACGGGTCAAGGACTTCATTTCCATCTGAGGCCTTGCCATCTTGCAGAAGCTCCCCTTCTACAACATTCTCCAAGGAAAACTGCTTCTTGGTGTGCCTTTCTTCTGTATCAGAAGACCTCCTCTTGTGACAAACTTTGTCCGTGGAAAGTGCATCTTCATCTGGATTTAGACCATTTACTGGGACAAAGAGCACATCTGCAGAGCTAGGAAAGACTGCATCCATTTGTTTTGTGAGCTCAGAAACAGGGGTCCTAACTTTATTTCTGGACTCTTCTTGTAAAACACTTTCCTCTCTAGCAATACTCGGTCCTGGGGCAGCATTCTGCATCAACTCTGGAGGCTGAGTATCTCCAGTTTTAATGACATCATCATCTTCCGCTTCAAACAGATTCTCTTCACCTTGTGTGAGACTCAGTAGTTCTTTTTTCAAGGAAGTGGGCAAAATCAACAAATCCATTGTATAATTGTCAGCATGGGCTTCAACAAACTGTCGGAATTCCCGTTTGATTTCTGACTCCTTCTGACTGCTGGGCAGGTTCTCATTATTCTCGAAGAGCTTTACAAACTGCTGAATATGACTCCTGGCCATGACCACAGCCTCAGCGCTTCCTCTGATGCCAAGAAGCCCGAAGTCTAAAACGCAGAGGTCAGCACAAGTATCCTGAATTAGGCTCTTTAAAAACAGACTCTGTGCCCCTACAAAAATGCAGTGCATGGCCGTGGGGTAGCATTCTCTCTCCTCCAGTTCAGGCTCACAAATTCCTTTGATATATTCCTGTAAAGACAAGACAAAATTAGACCAATTTACCAGATTCCTACAATAGCAAGGCTGACTTTTTAAAAAAAGAAAAAAACATTAAGCATATTTATAATTTGAAGTAAAATTCCTTGACTTCAATAAAAATAAAAAATTACAGCTTGGACCTTTGTGTGTATGTGTGTGTGTTTCATTCTAAACTATTTAATAATCTCTAGGGGAACCGAAACTTTGTCTATCTACAAAGTGGGAATCCATAACCTTTTACTATGTCTTCCACCGTGATCTTAGGGGCTTGCCTAGCTGCACAGTGGATAATCCCAAGGCTGGATTCATTTACATCTAAAGAAACCTCCTCCTACCCAGTCATTTCTCACAAAGGGACATATTTGATGAGATCATCAGATCAGTGAGCTACAAGAGAGCAAAGCCTGCACCACTACTGCCTTTGGTTTGCAGATTCAACAAAAATGATCACCCCGCCTCCAGGCTTCTTGAAGACATTTAGAAACAGTAAGATTCAAGTATAACCAGAGAATAGTAACAGGACTTCTTCTACTGGCTGCCACTGGGAACTAGTGAGATGATCAGCAGTGAAAGAGCTTGCTGCCCAGCCTGCTGATGACCCGAGGAATCCACATGGCAGAAGGAGAAGATCAACTCTCTGGCCTCTACACACACGCTGTGGCAATATACACCCACACATCCAATAAATAAATGCACTAAAAATGTTAAGGGAATTAGTTTCTTTAGCAAGTGGGATGCTAACTGGAACAAAAAAAAAAATGAGTCAAGCAATTAAGTGTATGCAACACACACACACACACCCCTCCCGGTGAAACATATTTGTTAATATACCCACCAACTTTAGCTCTGGAATATGTTAGTCTCAGATTCCATAAATACTACTGGTGCAGTCTTGCTCAAGTTACACAAGCAAAGTCCAGTTTCTTCAACAGCAAAGGCAAGAAGAGTGCAGTCATAGAGGGTTAGGGGAGTTAAAGTCCTTACAGGGTACCTTGGTACACGGTGAGACTGTTACTCAACGGGCAGTATACTTCTGCATAGACACTGTAAAGGGAGATCTGACCTATACTTTCAACCCAGGGTGTTGCCAAAACCAGCGCTATTTAAAAGCTCTGCCTGTGCAGCATCAGTCAGGATCTCTTCCAGCTTGAACTTAGTATGCACTTGTTGTTGACCACGCCCCTTCAGTTAGAATCCATTCAAATATTTATACCTAACCTTTGTGCATTTACTTATACTTCAGAATCACAAAATCTCCACAAAGATGAAATAGCAGGCTTTCACTGCTCCTATGAGTCTTGACTGCACTGGGCTTTGTCGTATTGAGGATGAAGCACAGGAGTCTTGTCTTTTGAATAAGTGTAATTTTCTACTGTTTTTAACATGACAATTTGGTTAAACCAAATAACCGATTGTCTTACCTTCTTGAATATCTAAGCAGTGTTAAATACTGATGCCAGCAGTCTTAGAGCTCCAAGTGGGATCTGGGGATGTGGCTAAACTAGTAGAATGCTTGCCTAGCACACACCAGTGCCTGAGTTCAAACTTGTTACCCTATAAATTAGGCAAGGTAGTGCAGGTCTATAATTCCAATACTTAGGAGGTTGGGGAAAGAGAACCAGAAGTTCAAAATCATCCTCAGGTGCACAGGGAAAGGGCCAGCCGTGGCTACATGACACCCTAACACAAACACTTCTCTCTCCAATTACTAATACTTGTTTGAACTTAGGTTATCTTTACATATGGCTTTAAAAAATATTTTTATAGGGGATGGAGAGATGGTTCAGCAGTTAAGAGCATTTCTTGTCCTTCTAGAAGACCCAAGTTTGGTTCACAACATTCAGGTCAGGCAGCTCAAAACAGCCTGTAATTCCAACTGTAGAGGATGCAACACCTTGTGGCCTCTGTGGATACTTGTACACACATTTGCAGATACCCACCTCTCTACCACATATACATAGATTAAAAAATAAGTTCTTTAGAATGAGAAAATGTTTTTATAAAGTGCTTTACCTTAAGCTAATAGTTTCACAAGAACTAACTTTTTAAAGATATAATACAAACTGCACTCCATCTATTTTCCCCTAACCACTACATCTGCATGGTGGTACCCTAAGAATCAGAACATTTGCATTGCACATGCACCCACAGATCTAGACTAGTTCATCTCATGGTTTTATAAAACCATCATCTTGTGCCAATGTTTAGAATTATTCTACTACCACAAAGACTGCTCTTGTCTTTTTATGGCCACATCTACCACTTTACCCTCAATCTCTTGGTACTCAGTTTGTTTTTAAATTCATAGTTCTGTGACATTATTAAACCAATAAAAATGGAATTATACAGCATTTGACTTTAAACATTTTAGCACACAGAAAGTGCACAGGCCTCATTGCACTTGACTAGTACCCACCCATCACCTTTCTTACTGTACCTCTCCACCTCCTACCGGTCCCCAACCCCTCACTCACTCACACACACACTTAAATCCAGGTTCTACATGAGAATACATGGGGTTTTCTCTCATCCACCCCATCCTCCTCTGCCCATTTACCTGTGGGTGGGCATCTAGGCTGGCTCCACGACTCAGTTACTGTGAATGGTGCTGCCATAAGCAAGGATGTGAGTGTAGTGAGGTTGACTTTTGTCATATGATGCCCTTAAAACTTAAGATGCTGTAGTTGGAAGTGGTGGCTCATGCTAGAGACTGCAAAGAAGGGAGCGCAAAGCAAGAGTTTGAGGCCAGCCTCGGCTATAGAGCGAGGCCTGCCTCAAACAAAACAACACACCCTAAAGGAAAACAAAGCTGCTATGAAGATCCATGTTCAGGTTTTTATGCGAGTTTTCATGTCTCTAGGATCAATGCTGAGAGGCACGGCTGCTGGTTCACAGGGTAAACACATATTTAGTTTTCTAACAAGCTACCCAACTATGTTTCAGTTGGCTACACATTTTGCAGTACCACCCAAATGTATGAAATCCAGTTTCCCCAAAATTCTGCCAATTTTTAAGAGCACCAGTTCCTATTCTTGGCATTTCAGTAGGAGTGTGGCAGACCTTATCTCGGTCCCCACTGTCCTCCTGGCTAGTGACCCTGACCACATACCATTTGTCCTCTCCAGGGAAACATCTTATTCCTTTGTCTCTAACTGGACTGCTTCTTATCACTGTGTTTTGAGACTTCTTTATCTTCTCTCGTCTTCTGTAAGAATGTGCCTTCCATCTGTTTTATATACATCAGTTGTTGTCTTCCCACATTTCCCCACTTTGAGGCAGCATCTTATGTAGCCTACGTCAGTCTCTACCATACTTGGTCTATGCAGCGCTGGAAATCGAACCTATGGATTTAGGCACGCTAGGCAGGAACTCTATTAACTGAGCTATGGCAACAGACCCTTCTTTCGGTTATCTATGAATTAGCAGGATGTTTTGTGGTAGCAACAAAAAAAAAATCTTAAATTTTAAGAAAGCTCTGTTTGTTTTTTTCTTCACTAAGCTCCAACTTGTTACACTTCTCCTATGTCATCTTAAGAGCGGAAGCTTTAGCTCGGCAACAGCATGTTTGCTAAGGCAAGCACAGGACCCTGACTTTGGTTCTCAACACTAGATGAAAGAGGAAAGGGTTTAAAAAAATAAATAAATAAAAAAGACCAAAAAGGGGGATGGGGGGGCTGGTGCTGGTGGTGATGGAGAGCTGGCTCAGAAGTCACAAGTTTAAAAGCACTAGCTGCTCTTCCAGAGGACCCAGCACCTACAAGGTGATCACAGCCACCACCAAACAGCAATGCAGGTCTACACAGTACACTTAACAGCCAAAACATGCTCTTCTCAGGAACCCACAGAACTATCAAGATAAACCTTATGCTGACTATGAAACAAATCTCAACAAATGTAAAAAGAACTGAGATTATGTAGCACAATCTGACCGCAAAATGATCAAACAAATCAGTTACAGATCAGAAAAATTCCCAAATGGTTGGGAATTAGAAACTAAAGAACCCTTCTAAGTAACTCCGAGCAGGGGATTTCCTTTTTCTGTTCCTTTCTTTGGAAAGGTAGGGATCCTCAGACAAGTGCTGCGATGAACCCAGGGCCTTAGGCATGCTGGGTAAGTGCTCTGCTGCTGAGCTGCGCCATGGCGCCCATAGGGGGGTTTTCTTGGGAACACACTGAACTAAATGAAAATAATATGAGCTATCAAGGCACAAGTGAAGCGGTGCTGAAAGACATGTTTATTTATTGATTTTATTGGCTATCCCAAAAGTCTCAACAGAACCATGACTAGATCAACAAGTGAGCCTTGAACTCCGTGGTTCTTTCACCTTTGCCTTCCCTACACTCTAATTACGGTCATGGGCAGCCATACCTGGCTTGAAAAGGAAATTTATAAGACATGAGTGCACATATTAGAAAACAATAAAAAAAAAAAAAGCATGGGAACTCACAGTTGTAAGCCATTTAGGAGGTAGCAGTGGGGGACAGCTGGGCTATCGTATGAAATCCTGTCTCTGCCTCCATGCCTGCCGTCCTTTTACATGGTTCCCAAACTTATGTAACTAGTGCTTTATCCACACTGAGCCACCTTCCCACCCCCACACGTGTAATTAAATACACCAGGATAAAGGCTTTTCGTTTTGTGTTCTTCCTGTGCTGAGAACAAAAGTCTGAGATGTGTATACATTAGACAAGTGCTCTACCACTGACCTACAGTCCCAGACTTAAGTTCATTTATTCTTGGATCCTGTCTTCTCCCACTTTTTGCAATAGCTGCCCCATATTCCATATACATACATTAAAAACCAAGCACACAATGTATACTTTTTGTTTTTAGCAATCAAACTCAAGTCTCGAACCCCCCCCCCCCCAAAAAAAAAAGAAGAAAAAAATTGCATCAAACACATAAAGATACCTGTGTATGAACAAGGGCTTGGCTATGAGACCAAGACAATAAAACAGAATTCTTATGACAGCTTCAGGGCTGCAAACAG